CAGCATAATGATGTCAACGAGATAAAGTCAGTTGATCAAATGAAAATGCTGGCCCACAGATGGCTCCAACTTCATCCTGTTTCCTACTTGTATGTCTCATAACAATAAAAAATGCTTTCAAATGAGCTGATGTAGGTAACAGCTCTTAGCTTGCTAATAAAGTTAGGAATCCTTAACCTGTAAATAGCTGTCAATAAAGCTAGGGATCCTTAACCTTGTCAAACCCTGTATAAAAAAAAAAAAAAAAAAAAAATAGAGATAGAGATAGAGAGATAGATAGATAATTAAAACTAAGAAATGTGTAACTAAAGAGAATCTTATGTGGTACAGTAATATACATTTTACTACAGTATCTATCAAAGCTATATAGAAGTCTTCATATTTAACTTTTAATAGCTAAAACTTTGGTTTTATATCTTAAATCTACAGTAATACTACCATTTAAATTATTTAATGGCACAAATAAGAGAAGGGGGTCACTCAAGTGTGTCCCATTTATTCACCTGCTTTTATGGTTAATAGGTACTTCCTTTTGATTGTATATGATTTATATACATATTACATCAAATTTAAATGTTCTTTGGATTCAACCCCAGTGCTGAATGTATATTATCAAGTCTTTCAATATACTCATTTAGTCTTGGAGAATCCTCCTCATGGAACAGGTTCCTGTAAATAAAATATTTATGTACATAACTCTTTCACCGTTGGTGCCGTAATATTTATGTCTTGCAAGCCAGTGTTGGTGCCATAATATTATGCCAAAATTCTAGTGGCTTCCAATCTTGCAGAAGAAAGCTGGTAGGCCTACATATGAGAGAATGGGTCTGAGTGGTCAGTGTGTGCAGTATAAAAAAAAAAAAAAATCTACAGCATGCAGTGCATAATGAGAAAAAAAAAAAAAACTTCAACCGTGTTCTTGGTTTAACCCTTAAACTGTCCAAACGTAGATCTACCTTCGCTCGCATAGCACTCTGAACATAGATCTATGTTTTTTTATTCTTTCTTATGGAGAAAATCAAGGTCGGAGCGCTATGCGCGCATACATAGATCTATGTTTGGATAGTTTAAGGGTTAAAACACCGACTTTGCGGTGTATTTTCTTATGGTATTTATGGTTCTATTCTCGTTTTCTTGGTCTCATTTGATAGAATGGAAGATATATTACAGAAATTGATATAATTTTGAATGGTTTACAGACTAAAAATATCTTGAAATTGAGCTGAAAGTAGCAGAAATGAATGAAATATCCATGTAAGACCATTAAGGGTAATTTTTACGGTAATGCATAAAATAAAATCTGTCATTACTCTGCAAAATTTGACCAATCATTTTGTACATTTACTTACGTACTTCAAATGCACAATGAGACAGGAATATTTTCAAGCATACCTGCGTGAGGAGGAAGGTGCAGACCACAACTGATTGGAAATACTTGATGGTCCTTTGGTAGGAGGAGTTTGACCAGTAAAAGTGTTTATAAAACTTCTTCCAGCTATACCTTGGTCATATGATCCTCTTCTGCTGCTCTCTGAAGCTTCTGTTGATCATGAATAATAATACAATGATGATTATTATTTCCCAAAAGTACATAATACTTAATGTGGTGTTTGTTCTACAATTTATATACAGCAAAATATGTGTTTTTTGGTTTACAATTTACATACAGAAAAACCTTAATATTCATAGGGTACAAGTACTGAAAATTTCCTGAATGAACTCTTGAACAGTTCCAGGAAAGTAAAACTTAATTTCTACATTTTGTAGCCAATCTTTACCAAAAAAAAAGAATCCCACCATATATACACCAATATGACTGTATACCAAGAAACAAGATACTTGATCAAAAACCAAATGAGAAAAAAATCAAAATTCAGTCATTATGCCTATAGAATTTACATGGTTAAAATAGGAGGAAAATACACATTTCTTAACTAACTTTCAGCAAAATTACGAATTAACATACCACACATGCACCAAATACTTGTGTATGAAAGAAATACACTTAATCAAAAAATACTTTAGAAATTAAAACAAATAAAATCCTACATAGTCAATACCCGTTAAGGTCCCAATGATTCGGCTAGAGGGAAAAGGCAACTATTGACAGTCCAGTGATAGAGGAAAAGATTGAATCTTTTATGAGCAACCAATTCATTAAAATACACAGCAAATATGGATAAATACCCAAGTTTGACTGCACTTTATATCTTGAGAAGCCAATATGCACAGTATGTCAGGAAGATGTATCACTTAGAATTTTATTTTTAACACATCAACTGTTTCCTACCAAGGTAGGGTGACACAAAAAAGAAAAAACTTTCATCATCATTCAACACTTTCACCATCACTCATACATAATCACTGTCTTTGCAGAGGCGCTCAGATACGAGAGCTTAGACGTCCCTACAAGCTGCCAATATTCCAAATCCCTCCTTTAAAGAGCAGGCATTGTACTTCCCATTTCCAGGACTCAAGTCCAGCTGACGGGTTTCCCTGAAACCCTTCACAAAATATTACCCTGCTCACACTCCAACAGCTCGTCAGCCCCCCCCCCCCAAAAAAAAATTGTCTCCATTCACTCCCAACACACTCAGGCACACTTGCTGGAAGTCCAAGCCCCTAACCCACAAAACCTCCTTTACCCCCTCCCTCCAATCTTTTTGGAGATGACTCCCTACCCTACCCTTATTACCTTATTTTTATCTAAGTTCACTTTCAGCTTTCTACCTTTACACACCCTCCCAAACTCATCCACTAATCTTTGCAACTCTTCTTTAGAATCCCCCAAAAGCACAGTAGCAAAAAGTAACTGTGTCAACTCCCATTTTGTATTTGATTACCCATAATTTAAGTCCACCCCTCTCCCCAACACCCCTAGCATTTACTTCTTTTACAACCCCATCTATAAATATGTTAAACAACCATGGTGACATTATACATCCTTGTCTAAGGCCTACTTTTACTGGCAAGTAATCTTCCTCACCTACATACATTAACCTGAGCCTCACTATCCTCATAAAAACTCTTTAGAGCATTTAGTAACTTACCATCTATTCCATACACTTGCAATATCTGCCACATTTCTCCCCTATCCACTCTATCATATGCCTTTTCTAAATCCATAAATGCAATGAAAACTTCCCTGCTTTATCTAAATACTGTTCACATATGCTTCAATGTAAACATCTGATTTTCACATCCTCTACCCATTCTAAAGCCTCCTTGCTCATCTGCAATCCTGCTCTCTGTCTAACCTCTAATTCTTTCAATAATAACCCTACCATACACTTCACCTGGTATACTCAGTAAACTTATTCCTGAGGCTTACCCATTAATCTTTTATCCACCAATACATAATCTAACAAACTACTTTCATTACGTGCTATATCATATTTTGAATATTTATTTATCCTCGTTTTCATATAGTATGTATCACTTATTACCAAACCTCTTTCTACACCTAGTTCAATTAATGGCTCCCCATTTTTATTTACCCCTGGCATCCCAAATTTACCTACTACTCCCTCTACAACATTTTTACCCACTTTAGCACTGAGATCCACAAACACAAGTACTCTCTCACTTGGTTCTAAGCTCTCCACACATTCAACATTTCTCAAAATCTCTCTCTCTCCTCTACACTTCTCTCTTCTCCAGGTGCATAAACACTTACTATAACCTCTTTTCACATCCAACCCTTATTTTACTCCACATAATCCTTGAATTTATACATTTACGTATATTCCTTCTTTTCGTGCTATAACTTATCCTTCAACATTATTGCTACTCCTTCCTTAGCTCTAATTCTATTAGAAACCCCTGACCTAATCTCATTTATTTCTCCCCCACTGAAACTCTCCCACCCCCTTCAGCTATGTTTCACTTAGTGCCAGGACATCCAGCTTCTTCATTCATAACATCCACAATCATCTCTTTCTTATCATTTGCACAACATTCACGCACATTCAAACATCCCACTTTCACGGTTTCCTTGTTTTTCTTTTTAGCAAGTTATATAGGAAAAGGGGGTTACTAGCCCATTGCTCCCGGCATTTTAGTTGACTTTTACAACACGCATGGCTTATAGAGGAAATATAAAGAAATATGAAGTTAAAATACTATGGGTACAAATTCATAAATGAACCTTCATGTACTGTCTATGAATCTAATTTTAATATAGAAGAGATTCAGGGATATCAGTTAACTGGACTGGAGTCCTAGAAGTGGGAAGTACAGTGCCTGCACTGAAGTAGGGGTGTGGATGTTACAGTTTAGAGGGTCATCTGAACTGTGATGTTGGTGCTCTTCTAGCAACAGTGATTGAATGAGCTACAGTGAAAGTATTTTTTTTATTAGGTCACCCTACCTTGGTGGGAGATGGCTGGATTGTTCAAAATTAGAAAAAAAAAATAAAATAGTAGTTTTAATGTACCTGGAGTAGATGTAATAGTAAAGGCTGGATGTGGCAGAGAGAAAAAAATCTGTGGCCCAAACTGTCTTTTCCGAAGATATCTTTGAACCATGTTTTTCATCCGATTGATTGCAATTACTGCTAAAACTCCAACCCTGAAAAATAATAAAAAATTTAACATTTAAATATTTTTATCTAAATACCTTATAAATGTTAATACATTCCTGAAAATAATATGCAAGTCAACTGCTCAGGAGTTGGAACATATTTTTCCCAAACAAGCTTACTTTATGATCTGAGATGCCGTCTTGAACAATAATATTCCATATCTAATTGCATTACTTTTTTACTAAACCTATTTACACAATATTTTACATTTAGTATTGTTCCTTTTCACTTACAAATAGTAATTAAACATTGTTTAAATAATGTATATAATATAACATGTAAAACAGCTGAGAAAAAAAAAAATCCAAAATTTAATCATATCTCATTGGGTCAGTGTTTTTTTTTTTTTACTCGGTGCAGGACACAAACTGAAAAACATAATAGGATTTTGTTCAAAGTACAGGATGTCCCCGTATGTACACCCAACCCTGCAAGGTAAGCAAAATCCTCTGGCGGGTGGAGAAAAGTTTTTCCATTGTGTCTAAAATGCCTGATAGTGTGTTTACACTATGATATATTAAGTGTTCAATATAGCTAGGCATAAATAAATAGATAAAAAAAGTAAAATAAATACATAGCACATACAAATGGGTTAAATGAAAGCCAACAAAATGTGAAACACTAAAAAGAGGGTGCTGTATATGTAGGGCCCTCCTGCATGTTCACTGGATTTTCCATGCCTGAATAGGTTTTCATTTTCCTTATTATAAATATCAACATTAACCAATTTAGAGTGTTGTTTAAAGATATTAAAAAAAATCACGTGAATCTGTGAACACTTATCTTCCTACTACTCTCTGCTCCCTCCCTCTACTTGAGTACCAACTGTGTGATGCTGCAACCCAACTTTGTATCAAGTGTCCATTTTCTCTAATTTAAAATGAAAACCAACAATAAGCTTTTGTTCCAAATATGCTCAATGGACTTCCTATGCCCGAATCTGCTTATTCAGTCATTCTTTAGTGAATATCAATATAAAATTCAGTGATATTGAAAGAGATATTGTTTAAAAACAACAAACACATGAAGACAAGTGAAAAGTGTATTGCTGCAATGTTTACCAACAGTCCCAGCATCACTTTCCACTACCGTATTCTTTGCTCTCCGGGGTCACAAACACACTCATGTGTCGGAGGAGCGAGTGCTTGTCCTTAAGTCATTAAGTGGTTTCAGAGTGCTAATGTTGTAAAGGCAGAACATCATAATTTGAGGATCTATGTTTAATTCACTATTTTTATACATTATTACCATAGTTAAATAGAAAATATGTTTTTTCAGATACAGTGGACCCCCGCATAACGATCAGCTCCCAACTCGACCAATTATGTAAGTGCATTTTTGTAAGTGCTTTTGTAGGTGTATTTTTGGGGGTCTGAAACAGACTAATCTAATTCACAATATCTCTTATGGGAACAAATTCGGTCTATAACGGCACCCAAACAGACTTCTGGATTGAAATAATATCGTTATCCAGGGGTCCACTGTATATACTATATAACTACCTGAATCTGTGTGTTGGCTGTACTCGAAAATTAGACATAACTTCTGCTGCTTCAGCTTGGACAGTTCCATTAACTCGACTTGCCATAGTGTGCAGTCGAGACAAGGCGTTTTCCTCGTTTTCCCTAAACCCCTTTATAACTACAAGCAAGTATCGCTTTTGCCAAATAAGTGCCTTACGCCAGTGCTCACTTCGTATATATTTTCCACAAATGTACTGCATCTGAAAAATTACAAAAAGGGTATAACAAAACAAAATTAGTTTACTATATCTGATATTACTGCATTTTACAAATATAATTTTTTCAAGGCAAAAATAATACCAACAATGTTCCAAGGATCAATGGCAATAAGAAGTTAGTTCACAAGGTGTGTGATTAAGAAGGAAGAGTACAAAAAGGTAGCGAGTAAGTATGTAGATGTCAGACAGTAGTAGTAGAGAACAAGAGTGTGTTATTCATTTGAGTGCTGGACTGTTGGTGGTCCATCATGAAGTTGAGGTCCTGGTAGATGCACCAATGAAGCAGACTGAAGGAATGTATAAGTACAGCATTTGGTAGTAATGCTCAAGACAAATGGGGTTGGTGTCATGAGTAATGAAAGTGAGTCAACAAATGTACCAGAAAATGCACCGTGTCATCCCGAACAATCTATATTGTAAGGAAACTGTAAACAAGTGATGCAATGCTGTGAAGAATTTCTTGTGTTGTGAGGTGTGCTGGATCATTGCAGCAGTTAAAGTGAGAGTTAAGTGATTATTAAAATAAAAACCCTTATACAGTACATGTAATAATTTAGGGTATTATATCTCAATCAATACAGTTACCACTGACTTAGCTCTGTGTTTCTTCAAGCCTTAAATATACACAAATAATTCATGTTGAATAGTATTTAGTTGCAAACAACACAAACTACTGATTACAAATAATAGTAACTGACTATTATTATTACTGTTGCTACTGATCATTTGGAAAGATTAAAGGATTTCTTACTCTCTCATCATTTAGCTGAGCATTGCCAATATTTTGAGGCGTCCTAGATCCAGCTTCTGTCTGCAATCTTGTCACTTCAGTCTCTTTCTGTGAAATTATATTTTGTAGTGACGCTCTCTCTCTTTCCCACACTGAGCGTTCCATCTTAAGTACTTTTTCGATATCAGGACTTTTATTAGTACTCTGAGGAAATAAAATGTGTTAAAAGGCAAGATACATAATACTGTACAATATACAAAACAATACAATCCTAAGTAGTTGTTCTTTCTTTCAATAAACCGGCCGTATCCCACTGAAGTAGGGTGGCCCAAAAAGAAAAACGAAAGTTTCTCTTTTTAACTTTAGTATGTATACAGGAGGAGTTACTAGCCCCTTGCTCCCAACAATTGTATGTACCATATACTGATCAATCTAGATTGCCTTTAGATTACTAAGCAACCCTCATGCAAGTTAGCTTTTATCCACTGTTGCAAACAAAGAGCCTGATTTCTGGGGAGTACTGGTTACTACAGACAATTATCAAGTTCAACAAATTTTACTGTAGAAAGAAATATCAATAAAAATTTAGATACAAAAAAATGCATTAGGTTGGCAGGAATATTTGGTTGACTTACAGCATTTGATTTATTAAGTTGTCTCGTGAGATCAGCAACAGTATTTTCCAGTTCAACAATTTTCTTCCTCGTGAATTGTCTGTCATCAGTCAACCGCAATACAGACTTGCAAAGTTCCAAATTTTCTTCAAGCTGCAGTTCAAAATAATCATCCAGGTTCTGTAGAGAAAACATACACCCTAGATGATAACAGGAGTGTTAATATGGGGATACCTGACTCCATGCAACAATGCAATTTCTAATACATTGTGAAGGGAATTTTAGTGTTTGATGGCAATATTTTCTCACATACCCTTATATAACACGTGAATTACAAGATGGCTCTTGGTAAGACACTCAATTTTGAGCGAGTGATCAAATGAGTATAAATATGGACATTCCTGATGCCACATGGCAGTGATAAAGTGCATCATATATTGGAAGAATTTGCAGTGTTTAGGATCTCCATAACTATACCCAATAGAGATACTGCAGGCCTGAACTGAGCCAAATTATTAGTGTTCCATTATACAAATTAATTTTATAGGGTAAACTCCCTCAATAATAATTTAATATAATAAAATCCAAATTTATGATGATAGTACGTATAATTATAATTTTAGATATGCAACCCAGCTAAATTTGATACTGTACAGTAATATGTCATCAACAAGAAAATTAAATCAGACAGAATCTGCACTTTCAGTATAAAATAATAGGGTATCTAAGATCTGATAAGTTATCTGCAATTACCCACTAGTCCATTACAAAGTAAAGGCACTTACATTAATTCTTGCTAAGGCAGATAGACCAAGTCTATTTATAGCCATCTTCTCAGTAGCAAGATCTTTCTGTAGTTGCTGTTCTTTCTCTCGGGCTAGTTCCAAGTCTTTGGTCATTATTCTTAATTTTTGATGCAATGTACAAAGCTCTGCTTCTGTCTCTCCCTGAAAATTTGGAAAAAGTTTAATACTTTACCAAAATCACAATATATAAGAACTAGTAATGGGGTCTTACCTCTTGAAAGTATGAGGATAATTAATAGATAAAATATCTGTACTGTAAATGAAAACATTGTAATTACAGTCTTCTTTTTTATAAGTGGACAAAATACATGCACAATTCACAAATATAAATAAAGGTGAATGTATTTAACCCTTAAACTGTCCAAACGTAGATCTATGTTCGATTTTACATTGTTTCTTATGTAAAAAAAACGTAGCTACGTTCGGAGCGCTTCGCGTGCAAACACAGATCTACGTTTGGACAGTTTAAGGATTAATTTTTTGAGTCGCCCTGCCTTAAATAGGAGAAGGCCACTGAGGTGAAAAATAAAAAGTGAAATTATGATGCATCAAGAAATAGTTCCAGAAAAATGGTCTTCAAAAATTAGTAGCTGCATCAGTTGTTGCAACTTTAAAATGGTTATTCAAAGACCTAGAAAAATTAAGTGACAGTTTGTCTATAAGAAAGTTTTCTTGATATTATATGACATAACATTACTTATGTAAACAAAGTTCTCTGTTTGCAATGATTTGTCCTTACATCACTTGTGAAAAAATATGTAAAATTTAATGTTATACATTTGTGCCAAGACAACCCATTGTCAGAGATAATATACCTACTGTACAGGCAGCTCCCCGCTTTATGCAGTACAACTGAAAACCCAACGCATTAAGAATATTACCAAATAGAGAACTTACATATACATTTTTTTTCGACAAACCGGCCGTATCCCACCAAAGCAGGGAGACCTAAACAGAAAAACCAAAACCAAATTTTTTCTTTTTAAATTTAGTAATGTATACTGGAGAAGGGGGTTTACACAATATATTGTACTCACCAATTTATTTAGAGTACGTGTGTATGATATATGAAGTTCTGCATCTTCTTCACGAGCCCTGTGAGAAGCAGCTTGATGGGCATCAGCTTGAGCTCTTAAATCACCCTCAAGCTTCCTTTTTTCTCCTTCTAACTCTCGAATGCGTGACTCTTGATATTGTAAACGTTCCCGATCATGGCTTATCTATTGAAGGTAAAGTTTTACTCGTACTGCAATAAGGCCCAGAGGCACTAAGGTCAATTGCTGCAAATATGCATATACTAAAATCCTGATAATGGCACTAACAAATTAAGTATGAATATCATGATGAACAAGATATCGAAGGTTTTGCAATTCAAAAAGGAAGTGTAAATAAAAAGTTAAAAATTTAAGTAAAATCAAGGCAGACAGGAAAAGAAAATTAATGAAATAAAAGCAAGAGGAAAAATAAGAGACTACTAACATGGGTAAAGAAATCTAATGATTGATATAGTATAAAATAATGTAAATAATGTAAATTCACATAAGAAAGGCAGTTTTATCTGAAGCTAAGATGAAGGACAGCTATACAAATAAGGTCAAGCAAGATGAAGAAATGAAAAACCAAGTAGACATGGTGAGAAAAAAGAAAGGATCATCAGAGATAATATAAACACACTAATAAAGTTAAATAAAGATAAGGCTCTATAACAAGAGGTCACAAGTAGAAACTACATTCCAAAGCATGACACAAAGACATCTTTAATGCAAGTGCAGTCAAGCAGTACAGTACAGCAGAAGCTCGAGTTCACTGCAATTTTCCCTTCAACTCAAATATCTTTTTTTTTTTTTTAACAGACTGGTTGTCTCCCACCAAGGCAGGATGACCCGAAAAAAAAGAATAATTAAAAGTTTCTTTTCTTTTCACATTTAATGATTTATACAGAAGGGGTTGCTAACCCCTTGCTCCCGGCATTTAAGTTGTCTCTTATGAAAAGCATGGCTTATGGAGGAAGAATTCTTCTCCCCTTGCCCATGGAGATTTTTTTTTTTCAACAAACTGGCCGTATCCCACCGAGGCAGGGTGACCAAAAAGAAAACCAAAAGTTTCTCTTTTTAAATTTAGTAATGTATACAGGAGGAGGAGTTACTAGCCCCTTGCATTTTAGTCGCCTCTTATGACACACATGGATTACGGAGGAAGAATTCTTCTCCACTTGCCCATGGAGAAAATATGTAATTATTTACCTCTTTTAGGTAGCCACCTAACAATCCTATTATGCTCTCTAAATTTTGAACAGCAAATGTTTTAGATCTGAACCTTTGTGTTTGTTTTTTACTGCCTGTAATCTGTGTACAAAAATATATAATCTTTTCATTATCATTTTAATGCTAGTCATATTTAAATTTCTATATTACTTCTTATACTATTTTTCTGTATTACTAAACATGTGTGATATTCACTGCTATATGTACATTAATCTTCTCCAATACCATATAGCTAAATGCAATTTAGGGACATTAAATTAAAATATCATACCTGTCTCATTAAGGAGTCTTTTTCCATTTCTAAATTCCTGACTGTTTTTGTCAATTCTGCATATTTACCCTGTTCTTCCATCAAATCAACTCTTGCTCTTGCTCTCTCAGCATGTGCTTGTTCATTCTGGGTTACAACTTTCAGTCGCTCTCTCTCATATAACCTCTGTATTTCAGTAAAGCGCTCTTGTTGAATTACCAGCTGCATCTGCATGAAAATAAAATAAATCTGCTTCATAATTTGCATATTTTTAACAAAAAAAAATCATTGTAAACTAAGAATGTGAAACAAAGAAGAAAACACATTAACCATCGCTTACTCTCTAGCTACCTTCCCAGACACCATGATCAAATGATGATGCAACGAACTACAACATGCTCACCCAACTTTCAAAGTACAGGCACCACAGACATTATTATACTGGCACTGACATTATGTCATATACCAAAGATGACTACTTGCCTCCACTTGCTCTGAGCTAACATACTAAAATGTAGCTGATGGATGATTAATTAAGTCCCAACCTCTCAACACCTCATTCACATCCTGCTTTCAACCCTTCCCCAGTCATCACCTACACTTTCTATCAACCCCAGATTTATACACCCTCTTTACCTGTCTTGCTTCTTACTACACTTAACCAAACACCTCAACTTCTCCTTCACTCCTTTAATTAGTGTTATACCACCAGTCTTCTAATTTCTCCCTTTCTTATTTTTTCTTATCACACTAGCTGTTTCCCACCAAGGTGGACTGGAAGTATGACAGTAATTTAAAGAAGGAGAGGTTGAGATGTTTGGTTAAATGTAGTCATTTCAGACATGACATTTTCACTTTTTCCAAATTCTTGTGGTAAAATTCAAAGAGCATTCATTACACAAATACATAAGCAACAGTATCAGCATATTCAAATACATACTTTTTTTTTTACATCCTCTCATAAACTTCTTTTCCCTAAGATTCCTCATCACTTCTGCAATTTTCCTTTCCTCATTTACCCTCCAATTTACATCATCCTTCATAGACCAATGTATACTTCTACTTACTCTTACCACCTAGATTTTTATGAAAACACTTTCAGTGTCTTTAATTTACACCCTTTCCAAACCTCTCAATTTTTGCAACTTCTTGTGCAAGACTCACAATCGTATTAACAGTAAATGTGACAAATCGCAACTGAAATTAAATGTAATATCTTTTAAGCTGGAACTTCCTCTCTTGCAACCTTCACTACAAATATTCTGAACAACCATGGGAACATAGTACATATCCATGTCAATGACCCAGAATTATTGAAAACATTTTTTCTTTCCTATATTTCTTACCAGAAGCACCAGAAAATGTACAATAGCACAGCCTAATGTAATAAGCACTCTTGAATCACGTAAATGTGCTTAATAGAATTATTTGTGTAGACATTTTTATGGTGGGGACCAACTCCAATATATAGTTCTATAAGAAAACTGATAACTATATACCTATTCTAGGCATTTTGAATTATGTTTTTTTCTTTTTAATCCATAGAAAAAACCCAAATTTCAAAATATAGAGTATTTATTGTGCAAAAGGAAAATTGTAAGGAAAAAACTAAACCAGTATAAAATAATTTTCTTTTAACCTTGAGATCTTCAACAGCAGATCTGCCAACTGTACTGCCATCCTTAGTAGGAGCTTTTTCTAGCTCCATAAGTCTTGATGTAGTGCAGGTCCTGTCAGGTCTTTCACCAGGGTGTTGATTAGCAGCTTCAGCCATCTGAGTGTAGAGGCCCATAATTCTCTCACGTTCTTTTTCCAGTGTATTATGAAGGCCCTGAGATTGAACAAAACATGACTCTTACTAATCATACTGAAGTAACATCATACTTGTACAAGATGAACGCTCTCAACTTGCTTCAAGCAAAAAATTTCCATGAAAATTAAATTTTTGGTAGTAAACATTGTGATAAATAGCAAAACATTTCATATTTCAGCTTTTTATGTTTTCATTTTTTTTGAGGGGAAGAGATGGAAGGAAAAGATGAAAAGTGGTAAATAAGATGTTTGGAAGGTTACCCTATTTACCTCATGCATTTTTCATTTTGTGTATTGAGATATTACAATATGCACTGACCTTCAGGAATGCAATCTGTCTGCTAGGATAGATATTACAATACAGTGGACCCCCGCATAACGATTACCTCCGAATGCGACCAATTATGTAAGTGTATTTATGTAAGTGCGTTTGTACGTGTATGTTTGGGGGTCTGAAATGGACTAATCTACTTCACAATATTCCTTATGGGAATAAATTCGGTCAGTACTGGCACCTGAACATACTTACGGAGTGAAAAAATATCGTTAACCGGGGGTCCACTGTATTTAATTTGGAAAGTTGATTTGAAGTTCGATTTGGAGACAAATGGTTTTTGGGACCTGACGAGCTGTTGGAGTGGGAGCAGGGTAATATTTTATGAAGGGATTCAGGGAAACCAGTTAGCCGGACTTGAGTCCTGGCAATGGGAAGTACAATGCCTGCACTTTACAGGAGGGGTTTGGGACACTGGCAGTTTGGAGGGACATCTAAACTGTCATATTTGAGCGCCTCTGCAAAGACAGTGATTATGTATGAGTGATGGTGAAAGTGTTGAATGATGATAAAAGTGTTTTCTTTCTTTCTGGGTCACCTTGCCTCGGTGGGAAACAGCCAATGTGTTAAAACAAAATATTCCCTAACAACACCAAGGTTTATATGGGTCACATTGCAGTGAATGACTAATAAAACCTTGCAGTAACATGAATAAATGTCACTTTCTGATCTATGGACACTATAAGCTCCAAACCTCTAAACTGAGACTTGATAAAGCCCAGTGCTTGGGCAAAACAATCAATAAATGAACAAGTTATACTACATCTGTGTCTCATTTTCCAACCTGTCAGTATTTTATACCCTCTCTCTCCATTTCCTTCTAAAATACAATTGATACATATTTTCTTTCTATACATAATACATGCTCTATAGCAAAGGAGAATGACTAGCATCGCTGCTCACCATCAGTGTCTGATTTCCTTCAGTTATAACTATTTTCTTCCTTGTCACTTTCCTATTTGCTTTATTAAAAATGTTTTAATTACACAAATGTAAGAATTATCCTGTAATGCTCATAATAATTAAGAATACGGATGATAACCGCCCACCTGGAGTTTACCTGGAGAGGGTTTCGGGGGTCAATGCCCCTGCGGCTCGGTCTGAGACCAGGCCTAATTTATTTTACTGAACAATTAAAAACTTAATTTTTCCTCCATAAGCCATGCATGTCATAAGAGGCGAATAACATGCCGGGAGCAAGAGGCTAGTAACCCTTTCTCCTGTATACATTACTAAAGTTAAAAAAAGAAACCTTTGTTTTTCTTTTTGGGCCACCCTGCCTCAGAGGGATACACCTGGTGTGTTGAAAGAAAGATTACTAGATAATGAAAATCAATGATAATTAGTAATTAATCTTTTATTATTATATTCAGTAGGGGTCATAGAGCACCAAAGGGAATGGGAGGTATTCAGAGTTAATCCAGGTAAAATGAGGTTAGGTCCAATTCCTTGGATCAAGAGTCCCTTACTGACATCAACGAACCTCCCACTAATTAATCTTTATAACGTGATGCAATGTTGGAAAGTGAGCAAGGTAACAACTATGAATGTATTCAGGAAAACTGGTCAGACAGACTGGAATCCTGGAGGTGGAGAAAACCACACTTGCACCCAGGAGGAGGGTGGGGGATGTTGCACGTCGGAGGGTCATTTAAAAAGTGATGTCTGCTCACTTTTGGCAAGACAACCATTAAGCAAATGGTGAATGGATTTCCCCCCTTTTTTTTCTTTTGGTTGCCCCACCTTGGTTTGAAATAACCAGCATTTAAAAAAAAAATTCTGACTATCCATCCATCAGGAAAGGAAGATCACTTTCAGATATTTGGGCTGGACTTTGTTACCCTTGGTATTCAAGTGGAAAGTGGTTACACAAACCAGTTACCTTGATGACATTCTCCTGTTGAGCTCGAGTCGCAGCTGCCATTCGCCGTTGTTGGTTAAGAACTTTTGAAACACGACTGAAATTGTTACGCTCTGCCTGCAAAGCTTCTGTCAGTGTCTCTACCTCTTTCTTAGAACTCTCCAGGCTTTCACTGAAAGGAAGAAAAATGTACTGTATTTGCAATTTAACTGCAGTTTATCTAGGATTCTATGCATGATGACAGAATCAAAATTTAGAAAAAAAAAAAAAAAAGCAGAAACAAATATTAGCAATAATATTGGTTGTAGCTTCCTATTTTCATAAAGTAGGAGGCATCCAAAAAAAAAAAATGTAATGGGGAAAAAAAGAGGAAGAAGACAGGGATTGAATGAATGAATTAATGAATTAATGATGGTTAATGTTTTTTCTTCTTTATGTTACGCTCCTGCAGAATGCTACATACAGATCAATAATACATTAACTAAAAAGAAAAGAGAATATGAATGTGTAAGTTCAAGAATTATGTGGATTAAAGTAAAGGTTGGATGCGAAAAGTGGGTCATAATGAGCCTGTATGCACCTGGAGAAGAGAGGAATGTAGAGGAGAGAGAGAGAGATTTTGGGAGATGTTAAGTGAATGTATAGGAGATTTTGAACCAAGTGAGAGAGTAATTGTGGTAGGGGACCTGAATGTTAAAGTAGGAGAAACTTTTAGAGAGGGTGTGGTAGGTAAGTTTGGGGTGCCAGGTGTAAATGAAAATGGGAGCCCTTTGATTGAACTTTGTATAGAAAGGGGTTTAGTTACAGGTAATACATATTTTAATAAAAAGAGGATAAATAAGTATACAAGATATGATGTAGGGCGAAATGAGAGTAGTCTGTTGGATTATGTATTGGTACATAAAACACTGTTGAGTAGACTTCAGGATGTACATGTTTATAGAGGGGCCACAGATATATCAGATCACTTTCTAGTTGTAGCTACACTGAGAGTAAAAGGTAGATGGGATACAAGGAGAACAGAAGCATCAGGGAAGAGAGAGGTGAAGGTTTATAAACTAAAAGAGGAGGCAGTTAGGGTAAGATATAAACAGCTATTGGAGGATAGATGGGCTAATGAGAGCATAGGAAATGGGGTCGAAGAGGTATGGGGTAGGTTTAAAAATGTAGTGTTAGAGTGTTCAGCAGAAGTTTGTGGTTACAGGAAAGTGGGTGCGGGAGGGAAGAGGAGCGATTGGTGGAATGATGATGTAAAGAGAGTAGTAAGGGAGAAAAAGTTAGCATATGAGAAGTTTTTACAAAGTAGAAGTGATGCAAGGAGGGAAGAGTATATGGAGAAAAAGAGAGAGGTTAAGGGAGAGGTGAAGCAATGTAAAAAGAGAGCAAATGTGAGAGTGGGTGAGATGTTATCAACAAATTTTGTTGAAAATAAGAAAAAGTTTTGGAGTGAGATTAACAAGTTAAGGAAGCCTAGAGAACAAATGGATTTGTCAGTTAAAAATAGGAGAGGAGAGTTATTAAATGGAGAGCTAGAGGTATTGGGAAGATGGAGGGAATATTTTGAGGAATTGTTAAATGTTGATGAAGATAGGGAAGCTGTGATTTCGTGTATAGGGCAAGGAGGAATAACATCTTGTAGGAGTGAGGAAGAGCCAGTTGTGAGTGTGGGGGAAGTTCGTGAGGCAGTAGGTAAAATGAAAGGGCGTAAGGCAGCCGGGATTGATGGGATAAAGATAGAAATGTTAAAAGCAGGTGGGAATATAGTTTTGGAGTGGTTGGTGCAATTATTTAATAAATGTATGGAAGAGGGTAAGGTACCTAGGGATTGGCAGAGAGCATGCATAGTTCCTTTGTATAAAGGCAAAGGGGATAAAAGAGAGTGCAAAAATTATAGGGGGATAAGTCTGTTGAGTATACCTGGTAAAGTGTATGGTAGAGTTATTATTGAAAGAATTAAGAGTAAGGCGGAGAATAGGATAGCAGATGAACAAGGAGGCTTTGGGAAAGGTAGGGGGTGTGTGGACCAGGTGTTTACAGTGAAACATATAAGTGAACAGTATTTAGATAAGGCTAAAGAGGTTTTTGTGGCATTTATGGATTTGGAAAAGGTGTATGACAGGGTGGATAGGGGGGCAATGTGGCAGATGTTACAGGTGTATGGTGTAGGAGGTAGGTTACTGAAAGCAGTGAAGAGTTTTTACGAGGATAGTGAGGCTCAAGTTAGAGTATGTAGGAAAGAGGGAGATTATTTCCCAGTAAAAGTAGGCCTTAGACAAGGATGTGTGATGTCACCATGGTTGTTTAATATATTTATAGATGGGGTTGTAAGAGAAGTAAATGCGAGGGTCTTGGCAAGAGGCGTGGAGTTAAAAGATAAAGAATCACACAAAGTGGGAGTTGTCACAGTTGCTCTTTGCTTATGACACTGTGCTCTTGGGAGATTCTAAAGACAAGTTGCAGAGATTGGTGGATGAATTTGGTAGGGTGTGCAAAAGAAGAAAATTAAAAGTGAATACAGGAAAGAGTAAGGTTATGAGGATAACAAAAAGATTAGGTGATGAAAGATTGGATATCAGATTGGAGGGAGAGAGTATGGAGGAGGTGAATGTATTCAGATATTTGGGAGTGGACGTGTCAGCGGATGGGTCTATGAAAGATGAGGTGAATCATAGAATTGATGAGGGGAAAAGGGTGAGTGGTGCACTTAGGAGTCTGTGGAGACAAAGAACTTCGTCCTTGGAGGCAAAGAGGGGAATGTATGAGAGTATAGTTTTACCAACGCTCTTATATGGGTGTGAAGCATGGGTGATGAATGTTGCAGCGAGGAGAAGGCTGGAGGCAGTGGAGATGTCATGTCTGAGGGCAATGTGTGGTGTGAATATAATGCAGAGAATTCGTAGTTTGGAAGTTAGGAGGAGGTGCGGGATTACCAAAACTGTTGTCCAAGGGGCTGAGGAAGGGTTGTTGAGGTGGTTCGGACATGTAGAGAGAATGGAGCGAAACAGAATGACTTCAAGAGTGTATCAGTCTGTAGTGGAAGGAAGGCGGGGTAGGGGTCGGCCTAGGAAAGGTTGGAGGGAGGGGGTAAAGGAGGTTTTGTGTGCGAGGGGCTTGGACTTCCAGCAGGCATGCGTGAGCGTGTTTTATAGGAGTGAATGGAGACAAATGGTTTTTAATACTTGACGTGCTGTTGGAGTGTGAGCAAAGTAACATTTATGAAGGGGTTCAGGGAAGCCGGCAGGCCGGACTCGAGTCCTGGAGATGGGAAGTACAGTGCCTGCACTCTGAAGGAGGGGTGTTAATGTTGCAGTTTAAACTGTAGTGTAAAGCACCCTTCTGGCAAGACAGTGATGGAGTGAATGATGGTGAAAGTTTTTCTTTTTCGGGCCACCCTGCCTTGGTGGGAATCGGCCAGTGTGATAATAAAAAAAAATAGTAAAAAATAAAAAGACATTAAATGTGAAGGAAAGAATGTTTATAGGATAAGGAAGGCCTATCTTGCTTCTTATAAGAAGCAATGTAAGCCTTCCTTACTCTATACACATTCTCTCCTTCAAATTTAATATTTGCTTATTTAATGTATTACTGAATTATATACAGCATTCTACAGGAAGGTAACCTAAAGAAGAAAACACATTCACCATCATTCATTCAATTCCCATCTTTCCATCAGACCATATGCCTTACTTACCTTAAGTTAATATTTTCTTCTCGAGTTTTCTGATACTGAAGCTGAAGAATGTACAGCTGTGAGCGCAGAAGTGTTAATTCTGAAATTCTGTCTACAGAACCAAGTTTTAACTGCCTTAATTGCTCCATCAACTCCTGAGTTCTTTTCTTTTCAGATTCAAATGATAATTTCCATTCAGCTCCAGACATTTTTTCTTGTTCCAGTTGAAATTCTACCAAGCCAACTGTAAAACAAAGACAATGATCTTACAATTTTTATTAACACACACCTGAAAAAGAAGAAACACTATTGCCATCACTCATTCAATCAGTCTTGCCAGAAGCATGCTGACATCACAGTTTTTTGATGGCCCTCTAAACTGCAACATCTCCACCCCTCCTTCAGAGTGCAGGTACTGTACTTCCCACCTCCAGGACTCAAATCCAACTAACTGGCTTCCCCGAATCCCTTCATAAATATTACCTTGCTCACACTCTAACATCACGTCAAGTCATTAAGACCACTTACCTCCACTCCAATCAGACAATCTTGAACAAGCCTGTTGAATGTCCAAGCCCTTATCACTCCAAACCCCACTTTACTCCCTCCCTCCAACCATTCCCAGGACCCCTACCCCTCCTTTCCTCAACCTCAGATTTACACACCCTCCTGGTCATCCTATTTTGCTCCATCCTCTCAGTGTCTAAACAATCCCTCCTCATTTCCCTGAATGATATGCTTGGTAACCCCACACCTATCTCAAAGCTTCAAATTCTCTGCCTGATATTCACACCACACACTGCCCTCAAATATGACATCTCCACTGCCTCCAACCTCCTCCTCACTCCAACATTTTAAACCCATGTTTCACACCCATTTAACAGTGTTGGTACCACTATACTCTGGTACATTTTCCTAATTTTCCTTCCACAGGTAAAGTTCTGTGTCTCCATAAATGCCTTAATGCACTACCCACCTTGTTCCCCCTTGTTAATTTTATTGTTCATCTTATATCTTATTTGTCATAGACTCATCTGGTGATAATAACGCTCCCAAATATATGAACACATTTGTTTTCCCAATACTCCCTCCAGTGTGATATCCAATCTTTCATTGCTTAAACTTTTGTATACTCTCATCACTTTGCTTTTTCCAATCGTCATTTGTAATTTCCTTCTTTTACATACCCTTCGAAATTCCTTCACCAGCACTTCAAACCACTTCGGAATAACCCAAAAAGAACCATGTCATCAGCAAAAATAACAACTATGACAACTTCCCCTTTGTATCAAATTCATTATATTTCAATCCCACACTTTCCCTCATCACCCTAGTGTTCACTTCTAATTATAACCCCATCTATAATTATGTTAACCATGACATCATTGCATAGTTAAGGCCTAATTTTACTGGAAAATAATCCCCCCTCTCTCTTACAATCCCTAACCTGAGCCTTATTATCTTTTAGTAACCATCAACTATTCCCCACATTTACAATATCTGTCACACTTGCTTCTCTATCCACCATATAATATGCCTTTCTAAATCGATAAATGCAACAAGTTCCTTACCTTTATCTAATTTGTGTTTACTTTTGTGGTTCAGTGGAAACACTTGGTTTACACATGCTCTACCTTTCCTAAAACCTCCTTGTTTTTTTTTAATAATATCTCTACCACACATTTTTCCCCACTATACTCAACAAGCTAACTTTCATATAATTTCTACACTTTTATATCCTTGTCCTTTATATAAAGGAATTATGCATGCTCTCTGCCAATCCTAAGGTGCCCTCTTCATTTCATGGACATACTGAACAAATACTCCAACCACTCCAAAACATCTCCAGTTGCCCTTAACATTTCTGTCCTGATTCCATCTGTCCCATATGATGCTTTATGTCTCTATTCTACCCACTGCCTCACACACTTTCCCCCACACTCACTTCTGGCTCCTCCTCACTCCTAAAAGATGTTATACCTCCCTCCCCAATGTGTGACATCACTGCTTTGTACATTGTGTAGTATTAAAAATATTTAACAAATATAGGAGTGAAAATCTTTGGTGTGAAAACCTGCCTGTAGGTTTTCTGCCATGTTCCTCTACTATTATGTTCTCACATGTTAAAAATGAAACTGAATTTAAAGCTTATAATATAAGAGAATTTGGATGAAACTACACATAATTTAGTAACCTTTCGCCTTCATCTCTTTCTCACTCTTGCTAAGTTCCTCCTCTAAAGCTGCCATGTGACGAAGTAGTTGTGTTCTTTCTCCTGGGGCGACACCTGTTCTTAGTCCATATTGGTGTGACCTCTCCTCTGAGTCAGCAATGGATCCTTCTGCCGATCCAGAAGCTATCAATCCACTCTTACTTATAAGAGACTTTTGACTGCTGTCCAAATGTGTCTGATGCTTTTGCAAGAACATCAGTTCTATCAAGGTAAGCATCTGAAAAAATGATAAATGAATAAGCTCTATGCAATTAAGCATGCAGAAAAACAGGAAAATACAATACATAACATTTTATTACAAGAAATTATTTTTCTATTACACAGAGTAAAAATTTGAGTAAACAATGAAAATGACATTACAGTACCTCTATGCCCTCCCTATGAACTTTATTCATCAATCTTTGGATTTTGTTTGCAACAACACAAGGCTCATCTTCTTCACTTAAGTCACTGACAGCACTGGAGGCTCTTGTAGAGAGTTCTAGTTCTCCCCTTGCATGGCCATGTTTTACGTATGATACTAAAGTGTTGTCCAGTTGGCCAGACTTGTCAAGTTCCTGCTTCACACCAGCATTCAGTGCATCAAGAGAGTCACATAGATGGGCTACAAAATATAAAAATCTAGTATGTATTTATTGCTCATAACAGTTGGAGAGTGAACAAGGTAATGTTTTGTGAAGGAATTCAGGGAAACTGGTTAGCCAGACTTGGGTCCTGGAATGAGAAGTACAATGCCATTCTGAATTACTGGAATACTCTGGTGCCAAAGTATTTACAGGGAAATCTGCATCTCTTCAGAATAAAATAAAACAAATTTGCCAAGCACATCAGCTAGCAAATACACAAATTGATTTTAAAAACAATAGTGCAAGAACAAGGATGTAAGACAGATAATATTAATCTATAAGCAATAAATAATCACAAGGTATGTACCATTATACTAAGCTTATAACAAGTATTCAAATATAAATAATACGTAAGTGACAAAATCTTGCAACACTGCACATACTGCATATAAAATCTTTATTACTAACATGTCTGTTGACTTCTATTACATAGATCTGCTATTTGAAGATGTTCTTGCAACTCCTTCTGAATTTGCTCCTTTTCCAAGTTTGCCTCGCGCAAAGCTGACTCGTAGAAACGCTGCTGTCGAGCAACTGCCTCTTCCTTGTCCTTGCCGAGCTTTACTGACAAATCACTCACCTAAAAATACAATATTCACTGCTAGTATCACACCTACAGACTCTAATTACAAACATAAATTTTGAGTATAGTATAGTGCTACATAAATTCAACTAAAAGAATGTATTTTTTCTTTACCACCTCAGCCATTTCCTGCAGGAAACAATTACTATCACACATTCAAATTGTATACTATTAGGACAGCAGTCAAAAAAAAAAACCTTGTCTGAACGTAAGCCAGTAATTTGAATAAATGCTTTAGAAAACCAACAGGTTGATAAATGAGACTTGTGCAGCAAGAATAAAGATACCCAATATGACAGTAAAATTAACCTAAGAAGACTAACCTGAGCTGCCATTCGTTCCTCATAGTCACTACACAACTGCTTTTCTCGAAGTATCTGTTCCTCTTTCAAGTCTGAAAAAAAAAAATAGTATGAAATTTATGATGATCACGATCATGCTCACTGCTAGTGAAAAAATATTAAGATATGGACAAATATACAAAAATTGATGGTGCAAGTGTTGAAGCCATAGTAGAACATCATCACATACTGTGCAAACAAATAATGGCAGCAACAGCCGCATGTTTACACTCTTATCTATCACTGATTTAAATAGTCCACACGCTGTTACAAAATGTGTGGGTACTTGATGTTTTTAATTAGTTAAGTGGTATATCGCATAGATACCAGTGTATATATGTACAGTACTCTATATACATTTATTTTTAATATTTATTAGGTACACTTACATTCTCTGTTTACATTTCAAAATATGAAACAAGCCAATAATTATAGCAACTGAAATACAAGTAAACAAGAAAAATATTATGTAAAAATGTATGTACTTATAAGCCACTGGAAATAATAAGATTCATACCTCACTTACAACAAGCTAATTTAATTTAATTTAATTTCTTCCTTAACCCTTTGACTGTCGCCGTGGTATATATACGTCAAAGGAGATAAGGTGTTTGACATATCTATACTCTTCCCAAGTGATGCTCTAACACAGATGGAAGTGTCATTGAAGATCAATTTCATGATTTCGAGGAGTTTGAGACCAAAAGCAATGGAGGAGGAGGAGGAGGAAGAAGAGGAGGAAGGAGGGAGGGAGGAAGGAAGGAAGGAAGGAAGGAAGGAAGGAAGGAAGGAAGGAAGGAAGGAAGGAAGGAGGGAGGAAGGAGGAAGGAAGGGAAGGAAGGAAGGAAGGAAGGAGAAGAAGAAGAAAAAAGAAGAAGAAAAAGGGAGAAGAAGAAGAGAAGAAGAAGAAGAAGAAGAAGAAGAAGAAGAAGAAGAAGAGAAGAAGAAGAAGAAAAAGAAGAAGAAGAAGAAGAAAAAAGAAGAAGAAGAAGAGAAGAAGAAGAAGAAGAAGAAAAAGAAGAAAAAAGAAGAAGAAAAGAAGAAGAAGAAGAAGAAAGAAGAAGAAGAAGAAGAAGAAGAAAGAAGAAGAAGAAGGAAGAAGAAGAAGAAGAAGAAGAAGAAAAAGAAGAAGAGGAGGAGGAGGAGGAGGAGGAGGAGGAGGAGGAGGAGGAAGAGGGGGAAAGGGGAGGGAAGAGGAGGAAAGAGGAGGAAGGGAGGAAGAGGAGGAAGAGGAGGAAGAGGAGGAAGAGGAGGAAGAGGAGGAAGAGGGGAAGAATTGGAAGAGGAGGAAGAATAGGAAGAAGAGGAAGAATAATAATAATACCTAATAATAATAATAGGGTAATAATATGTTCCCTTGAGGCATGAAAACAGTTCACCCCATGACAGTGACAAGATAAGGGGAAAATAACATCTGATAAGAGCTGACCTTTGATGAGTGTAACGAGGGTGGAGGGAGGGGGGCAGCTGTCCATCTGTCAAGAGCCAGGAGAAGGAGGGGGGAGGAGGAGGAGGGGAAAGGAGGAGGAGGAGGAGGAGGGGAGGGGGAAAGGAGGAGGGAGGAGGGAGAAGGAGGAGGGGAGGAGGAGGAGGAGGAGGAGGAGGGGGAGGAGGAGGAGGAGGAAAGAGAAGGAGAAGAAGAAGGAGGAGGGAAGGAGAAGAGGGAGGGGGGGAGGAGGGAGGAGGAGGAGGAGGAGGAGGAGGAGGAGGAGGAGGAGGGAGGAGGGAGGAGGAGGAGGAGGGAGGAGGAGGAGGAGGAGGAGGAGGAAGAGGAGGAGGAGGAGGAAGAGGAGGAGGAAGAGGGGGAGGAAGAGGAGGAGGAAGAGGAGGAGGAAGAGGAGGAGGAAGAGGAGGAGGAAGAGGAGGAGGAAGAGGAGGAGGAAGAGGAGGAGGGAGGAGGAAGAGGAGGAGGAGGAGGAGGAGGAGGAGGAAGAGGAGGAAGAGGAGGAAGAGGAGGAGGAGGAGGAGGAGGAGGAGGAGGAGGAGGAGGAGGAGGAAGAGGAAGAGGAAGGGAAGAGGAAGAGGAAGAGGAGAGGAAGGGGGAAGAGGAGAGAGCAACGACGAACAAACATTTGTCTGTCTGTCTATTTGTCTGTCTGCCAAGCTCCCTGTCTATCCGTCTAGCTCTGTCTCAGAGAACCACAAGACTGTGCCCAAATCACGTTTACTCACATCTTCAAGCAGAGTTAGCACTTTGTCTGGATTTTTTGGGTTATCCTAGGTAATTTACACTATGTATTACTTGTATTTTTTGTGTACCTGTGAGACAGAGATAGACAGACAGAGAGAAAGAGAGAGACAGATTGAAAGAGATGAATGAGGGAGAAAGATAATTAGATAGAATGGAGGGGAAGCAGCATCCAACCCCATTGTTTTGACAGGCGGGAGGGGGAGTGAGTAATGAGACAATATGTCATTTTGACAGCTGCCGACTCCTGACTCAAAACATTATAAGCCACACACGGCCCCCAAGACAAGCTTGCTGAATGGTGATAATAGCAGTTTTATAAAAAGTATCTAGTGATATATATGTGTTATATATTATAGAAACCAGAAGCAAAAAGGGAAGGCAGGATTAAAGGAAGGACTAGTGAAAGGAAAGGAAAAAATTTAATGAAGGACAGATGAAGGAATGTAGGAAGAGAGGTGGAATGCCCTCCAGGTAGCCTCCAGGTAGGAAAGGAATGAAGGAAATTAGGAAGGAAGGAAAGATGACACACGACCATTTACCTAGGATAACTACATAAACAAAACTGCCTGCTAATACTTTGAAGAAAACTGCTCAGACGAGGTGTTTTGTCTTTGCACATAAAAAAAAAAAATTCCACAAAAATGCACACACACTGATTTTTTGTGTGAGGAGTGTAAAACACCATTGTGTATGACCCCCATGTTTTATGTGTGAGTGTAAAACACCACTGTGTATGACACATGTTCTATGTGTGAGGAGTGTAAAACACCACTGTGTATGACACCATGTTTTATGTGTGAGGAGTGTAAAACACCATGTGTATGACACCATGTTTTTTTGTGTGGGTGTAAAACACCACTGTGTATGACACCATGTTTTATGTGTGAGGAGTGTAAAACACCATTGTGTATGAACACCCTGTTTTTGTGTGAGTGTAAAACACCACTGTGTATGACACCATGTTTTATGAGTGAGGAGTGTAAAACACCACTGTGTATGACACCATGTTCCAAAGAGTTCCACAAGCTGCAGAACTTCTAGGAGTATGTTCAGTGACTGTATATTGGTATATATATTATAGAACAATAGTAATAAAAAATTTTTTGTATTGTTTGTTTTTGTAAACAAGTTTTGTAAACAATATATTGATAATTATGTTTGTGTGCTTATTGTGTTGTATACAACGAGTGTATATATGTACATTGCACCTTACTTTGGTCTCACAGGCCACATAAGTTATGTGGGAAAAAATAAAATAGTGAAAAAAAACAACAAACCTTCAAATACAAGTAAACTAAAGTTTACCGGGTGAGCGGCAGTCGCCGCTGTTGCCATACGCGGCTCATTTTCTGCAAACTTCATGCCTCTATATCTGGGTAAGTACTGATGGGAAAATTTTTTTTTGGGGACTAAAACAATCAGAAAAATAATCTTAACATTTTCATAAGAAAAAATATTTTTTTTTTTTTTCGAATATTTTGTGACACCAGGAGACACTTCAGGATTGGGCCTTTCGACAGTCAAATGGTTAAAGATACAGTGTAAATTTGAATGCTATCGTCAAAGTTCACAATATTTAAAATATGTTTAACCCCAAATTAATTTGTAATTACAGTGGAACCTCAGTTTTCGTCAGATTCGTTCCAGAAAGTCTGACGAAAACTGAAGCAATATTTCTCATAAGAAATAATGTAAATCCTATTAATCCGTTCCAGACACCCAAAAGTACAGTTGACCCTCGCCTAACGAACGCATCGCATAATGTTAAATCCGCCTAGCGATACATTTTAACGCAAAAATTTTGCCTTGGCTAGCGCTAAAAAACTCACCCAATGTGATTCGTTCTGTTCGAGAAGCTTCCACGTGTGGCCTGAGCGTGCCTCACTTGTCCCGTGGGTGCAAGTGTTTACAAGCCAGCCACCGCGGTCGCATCCAAACATACAATCGGAACATTTCATATTATCACAGCGTTTTTAGTGATTGCACTTGCAAAATAAGTCACCATGGGCCCCAAGAAAGCTTCTAGTGCCAACCCTGTGATAAAAAGGGTGAGAATTAGTATGAGAATTAAGAAAGATTTTGAAGGGTTTGGGGCTAACCCTGAGATGCCTATGCCAGTTGTGGAATCCATTGTGCCTACTTCAAAGATTAAGGAAATGTGTGCAAAGTGGGTTGAACTGCAAACCTTTATGGATGAAAATCACCCTAACATGGCTATTGCAAGCTGTGCTGGTGACTAACAATGACAATGTTTTTTAGCCCATTTTAGACAAATTTTTAAAGGAACGGGAGGTTTCAGAGCTCTATGGAAGATATGTTGTGCGACAGAGGTCCAGTGACTCTCAAGCTGGTCCTAGTGGCATTAAAAGAAGAAGGGAAGTAACCCCGGAAAAGGACTTGACACCTCAAGTCTTAATGGAAGGGGATTCCCCTTCTAAACATTAACACCATCCACACTCTCCCCTCCTCCCATCCCATCAATCATCACCAGATCTTCAATAAAGGTAAGTGTCATGTAATTGTACATGTCTTCTTCAGTTTGTGTGTATTAAGATTAATATTTCATGTGGTAAAATTTTTTTTTTCATACTTTGGGGTGTCAGGAACGGATTAATTTGATTTCCATTATTTCTTACAGAGAAAATTAATTCGGCTAACGATAATTTCGCCTAACATGGAGCTCTCAGGAACGGATTAATATCGTTAGGCGAGGGTCCACTGTATTAACAAAAATACATTTTATAGAGAATAACTAGTAGTAGGTAGTAGGTTGGTAGACAGCAACCACCCAGGGAAGTACTACCGTCCTGCCAGATGACTGTGAAACAAAAACCTGTAACTGTTTTGCATGATGGTAGGATT